GCGACGAGCTATTTGGCTGAGGTAGATGTGTTTTCTGCCGCTGCAAACCCTAGATCGCTCTGCGAACCCAACACACACAAAGAAACGAAGGAAAGTGAAATGCCCGAGGTGGACACTGTGTCAGGAGAGGGAAATGAGTTTCGGGCCTCTTTTTTACGAACCAAACACCCCCTTATATCAAATTATCAAAAGTTACCTTGTGTAGGATTTATCTTTAGTTTGAATAGGAAATACGCCATAAAAGATTTACCATCAGTGCATATTAAGACATCAAGGTAGTAGTGGGTATATTTTATTTCAGCAGTCATTCTTTGGACAACCACCTCATGCATTTCTCAACATGTCATTCCATGATGACAATTACTTCCCGATGCACCACCAATCGGAATCATTTACAAATATGCTAAGTTCTCATAATTTGCCTCCACAATTTCATAACCCTAATATTATTGGATTGTAACTTTCTCCCATTAGTGGTTATGGCTCAACTCCCGAGTCAGGTTCTAAATGGGTGGTCATAGAAGTAGGAGAAGCAACCTCACCAAACCCAAAAAAGAAGAGGAAGAACACAACAAAGAAAAATGATAGTGAGGTCGGCGGTTCATGAGTGAGCAAACATTTATTTTGGGATTCCCGTTATGACGATGAGCTCATTTTATTACTTGCTGACTTGATAAGAAAGTGTTACAAACCCGACAAAACCGTTAAGAGAACCACGTATCGTATGGCTGCTAAACATATAAACGATAAGTTTAACACTATTTAAGTGAGAGAACGTCATGAACCGCATCAAAACTTTACGTACAAGATTCCGTGTTATGAAAACTTATCGTAATCTTAGTGGTGCCGGATGGGATGATAGCACCAAGACTGTCATCATGGATCCGAAGTGTTTGAATATGTGGATTGAGGTAAATAAACCTATTGTTGCATTTTTGTTGTCTACTTTTCTCATTCTCTCATTTACAAACAATTAATTCACATATACTTTTCAAGACAACGGCTTTAGAAAATCTAACATTAAGCAGTATGTTAATAGACCCTTAGAGCATTATGATGGTTTTGCACTAATCAGCGGGGATGATCACACTAGAAGGGACTTTGCACACGACATTAACAAAAAGTTTAGTCGTAGTGAATCCATCAACCTTGAAGATGATTGTGACTCACCTTTGCCTACCTCTCAATCCCCTCAAGTGCACGCTTCAGATGATGAGGACACAGATGATTGTGACTCACCTTTGCCTACCTCTCAATCCCCTCAAGTGCACGCTTCAGATGATGAGGACACTCCTCTGCCTAAGGAAGCACCCGCCTCATCAACCTCTAAGGCAAAATCATGCTCTTCCAAGGAAAATGCTCGTAGGACTAATCTAGATAATAAGCTCATGCAAAACTTGGTGGATAAGATAAATGTATTTAGCGCAAATATAAAAAGTGTGCTAATATGCATTGGACCGAGAAGCTATCTACGGTCTTATATACTCATTCACAAGACTTTAGTATTGATAAGCTAGATGCGTATTACCGTCATCTCTTTTTGAGCGAGAATGAATCAAGACTTTCTATGGGCATATCTTTGGTTAGTCAAAAAGATATGATTAATGTCTTCCTTAATAATGAGGGTTGAAGAACAATATGAATATGGACTCATGTGGTATTTTGTGATTCTCACTTCTAACATACTTGTTAAATCCACTTACTTTTGGTGCAAGACAAGTCTTGCTTAATTTAGAAAAGTTTCATTTGATTTTGTACTATATGTTGATGTTATTTTATGTGCATGTGGAATATTATGATGATGGAACATATTATTGTAATAGGTAGTAATTATTTATATGACTTTGATTTTAGTTGTGCTTCAACTATAAACCTATGGTTTCATGTGCATATTTACCAACATTATGTGATGATTATAGAATACTAATTTTACATTGAACTTGTGTTTGCAGGAACTTTATAAGTCATCATATACATGAAAACTAAAAAAATTGTATGTAAGCAACCTACAATGTATTTACGTTGTATTGGATGGCTACTACTGTGGGTTATTAATGAAAATATTGTTATGTCATGAGTTTTAGTTTGCGACCTTCTTACTTTTAGACTATAATGATTGTTAAATATTCTGAGATTAGCAATCTGTAATGTTTATTGATATTGTATTGGATGGCTAATAATAATGATACTGACTAAGTTCTGAGCCCTCAGCTATAGAATTCATAAACATGTGGTTGGTATATTTTATGTGATATCAACAAATATTTCCACATAATTTTTTAGACATGAAGTTCATTCAAATTAAACATGCATAAAATAGCATAGTAGTACATGATAATAGCAAAGTAGTACATGTCATTGCTTTCATTTTAACGATTATAAATAGATTTCTAGTCCACGATGCTCTCCAATACAATCCTTACTCAGATTGTCAGCAGTTTTATTGTAACTAACATCATGTGCATGTGTTAGGAGTTGATTTTTGTTCCAGTACATGTTGGGTATATCTTTGCAGTAAGGACACTTTTAACTTCCGTCTATAACTTTTACAGCATTAGCCCTTAGCATAATTTCTGCTAATTTCATGAAATCCCACATCTCATCTTGCTCTCGATCTGCATCCGTATAGGCAATCCATTCTTCAAATGTTCGTTTAGGTTTACTAATCCTTCCACGCTGATAAAAAATATAGTAAATTGACATTTTAATATATACAACTCTATTTTAATCATAGAAAATTTAAATATTCTTACCTTTGATGATGGTGCAGATGAAGAATCACCAATATCTTTACTTTTCTTACTCATATTTTTTCCTGGTTAATATTTTGTATGCAAACATTGCGTTTTATAGATGTGTATGGAATAGTACATTTACTTGGTAGTTGGATGTTGAATCTAACAATATTAATTTGGATCAGTAAATTTTCTGCTGATTTTGCCAATAGTTTTGTAGCGCTCATGGTTTTGAAACTAACTGGTTTTGTTTCTTATAGTACAGTCCCTAGTTATCTATATGTATGGTTTTTCCAAGTTTGATGCAAATTTTCATGTCACATAAATATTTATGACTAAGCAGGTTGACTATAGGTTTTTACAGTCATAAGAAAATTCAGGTGCGTATTTATAAATTATGAATAATCATGTTATTACAGATTGCGTGTGATTTTTTCCCGTCAAACAGGTATTTTTCATGTCAAATCAGAGACGTAGTTCATAATAGTTAAAATAATCATATTATTACATGTTTCGTCTAATTTTCTATGTCAATAGATATTTATGATGAATTCAGCTATTTACTGGTTTTTCATGTTATATTTGTACTTTTATTTTTGGTAAGATTACCTCCATTAACGACCACAAACAAATTTTTCTTTACTGGGTGGTAAACTTACCATGGTTACCATATATACTTTTTCCTACACATTTTAATAGCAACCATACACAAGAAAAGTGGGAAACGCCTAATCATTAAAAGTTTTCCCCCTTTTTTGATGCCAACAAACACAAGAAAAGTGTATACATTGGTTTCCCATCATGTTTTATGTATGAAACAAACCCAAACAATCTATTTATTGAAAAAGTTTGGAAAACCCAAAACTTGGGTTTCTTTACATAGGGGTTGTTTGGTTCTTTTCCCATGTAAGTGTCTCCAAACAATATAAGTGTCTCCAAATAGGCTGTTTGTTTGAACGAATGTGAATTAGGAAATCTGACAATATCAGATTCCCCCCCCCCCTCAAAACCCTCATCCTCTTTTTAAATATAGATTTCTTGTTGAGCAAACGGATCTGATATGTCAATTTATCATATATTATTTGTTAACTAGTCATCTCTTCACATACGAATACAGGTTTTTTTTTCCAGTAATAGAAACTTATATCTGTATCTGCCAATGTAACAGAAAGCAGTAGGCGAACAAGGCCTTTGAGCCGGGGCCTAGCACCAAGACACCGAGGCGTTTGACAATTTGTTAAATTAAATAATTATAATAATTGATGAAAACATGAATCAGATTCATAGAAAACTGCAAAATGAACTAAACAGCAACTTTAACAGCGTCCTAAAAAAATAATGTTAAAACTAACAGTGAGCTAAAGCTAAAGTTGAACAACCTTAACTATAATAATCATACATTTGGACTAAGGGCCTGTTCGTTTGCCTAAAAAAAAGAGGGAAATCAAAGAAATGGAAAACTATTAAAATGAAGAATTGTTTTTGGAGTGTTTGGTTGGCTAAAAAAGAAGGAAATCAAAGAAATGAAATTGAAATGATGTTAGTTGTCACCTTATTATTGGATGATGTTTGTGATTTTTTAAGAAAACTAGTTTTGGAGTGTTCGGTTGGCGGAAAAAAATAAGGAAATGAATTATAAGAAACCTATTTCCTGTAGTTTCTTGTTTTCTTTTGTTCGGTTCATTCTTAAAAATAAGAAATGAAATGAGATGAGATGAGTTGTCATTGTATTATTGGGTGATGTGAAGAAAGATTAAGAAAAGTGTTTTCATAACTTTTTGGGATGAAAATGAAGAAATGAAATGTTAATGAGATGAGGTGAATTGTTATAATATTTTATTGGATGATGTGAGTGATTTGAAATGATGAGAAGAGATGAGTTGAGTGATGTTTGGATGAAAATAATATTTTATTAGATGTGATGGATGAGTTGTTAGATGAAAATAATATTTTATTAGATGTGATGGATGAGTGGTTAGATGAAAATCATATTTTATTAGATGATGTGGATGAGTTGTTGGATAAAAATAATATTTTATTGGATGTTGTGGGTGAGTTTTAGGGATGGAAATGGAGGAAATGGTGAGTTTTGAGATTTTCACCATTTCCATTTCCATTTCTTGGTTTTTAGAAAACAAACGAACAGGCCCTAAAGAAATAACTGAGTAGTGAAATGTTAAAAACAAAGGCAAAATTTAAGAAACAGTGAATAAGGTTACAAAATAGTGAATAAAATTAAAAAAGTGAAAAATAAGAACAATTTACCTTCAATAGATCCGGAGATGGAGTGCCGCTGGCCGGAGATGGGACGGGGGACGAGCCGATGATGGATGGTCGAGATGATCTGGGCTTTTATTTTTTTTTTTTTGGTTCAGAGAGCGGAAATGGAGGGAGAGAGACGAGGTACGCGTGAGAGAGAAAAGAGAGCAGGGATTAGGTTTTTTTTTTTTTTTTTTTTTTTTGGGTTTTAAGTTGAATTAATGGGTAGGGTTACGTCACGGGTCGGGTATTTTATGTTCTGAGCCACTTGTTGGTTCTGGGCTTCTCTTTCGGCCTTCGTTTTGTTCCTGTGCTGAGCCAAAAATACTAGATGGCCCGCCTAAATTTAGGCAGAAATATGAACTTTTGAGAGTGAAGGGAAAAAAGGCCTATGATATAAGATCTTTTGAGAGGGAAGGAAAAAAAAAAACATAATATGAACTTCCCCGCAGGTGGGAAAGGTGTACGTAGACATGAGAACATGAGAGATTATTTCATGAATTGGGAGCATCAAGGATTAAGATATAGAAGAAATAAATTGAGCATTAATCCTCCAAGGAGATCCCTCGGAAGTCAACAAATGATGACGATGAAGAGCATTAATCATCAAGGATTAATACTCATTTGTTACTCCCATTCATAAAAAAAAAAGTAGGGTCACCAAGACTCATCATATTAAAAAAAAAATTATAGTGGTGAATCGCAAGGACCTATTGGAATAGGTTGCAACAAAACAAAACTAAAGTCTAAGTATGAAAGATAATCACGCGGATAACAACAAAATATAATTTCTACCTTCCGCCGAGCAACACGTGGCACCATGCTCGACAATTGTGACCACTTCTCGTAACTCAATAATTCCCGTTGCCCTCTTCTGCCCATCAAAGAAACTGTCAAATATCTATCCAAACCGGAAGCAGAACTTGCAGCCACAAATCATGGAACCTTGGATCGTCATCCTCCTCACCCTCACCCTCTCTCTCCCCTTCCTCCTCTCGAAACTCAAAACGAAAGCTCCCTCCCTCCCTCCAGGGCCATCAACCATAGCTTTCTTCGCTAAGAACATAATCTTCCATAAGAAATCTTTGTTCCAACTCGAACAAGTCATCCATGAGCTCCACAAAACCTACGGGCCCATCATCTCCCTGCAAACTCCCCCCCATCCCACTATCTTCATCGAGGACCGCGACATCGCCCACCGAGCTCTGGTTCAGCTCGGCCCGGCCATTGCAGACCGCCCGCCCGTTAAGGAGCCTAACGTATACCTAACCTGCGACGGACATGACATAAGCTCAGCGCCCTACGGTTCTCTATGGCGCTTGCTCCGACGCAATCTCGCCTCGGAGATGCTTCATCCCTCTCGCGTCATTCGCCGCCGCACGTAGCTGGGCCTCCAAACTACTCGTCAACAGGCTGCAGGCCAGTACTCGAGGAGGAGAGGGTGTAGTCGTACTCAGAGAGAAGTTGAGCTTCGCCATGTTTTGCTTGCTGGTTGCCTTGTGTTTCGGAGAGAAACTCGACGAGGAGCAGATTAAAGAGATACGGGATATCCAGTATTCTCTGCTACTGCTCTTCACGAGGTTCAACTTCTTCGGTTTCCTCCCGAGGGTCGCCAAGGTTGTTTTCCGCAAGAAGTGGGACAAGATTGTAGGGATTAGGAGGAGGCAGGCGGAGATCTTCACCCCTTTGATAAGGGCGCGGAAAGAAGGGAATTCGAAGCTCAAGCGAACTAATAAATTAGGAGATCTTGGTGATCAAATATTTGTTCCGTACTGTTACGTTGACTCCCTGCTCGACGTGGAGATCCCCGAAGAGGGGGGGAGGAAGCTTAGCGAGGAAGAGGTCGTGAACCTGTGCCACGAGCTTCTCAGCGGAGGTACCGATACGACGTCGAATGGGTTGGAGTGGATCATGGCCGAGGTAGTGAAGAACCAGGAAATACAGAAGGAGCTAGCGGAGGAGGTCGGGAGGGCGATACCCGCGAGCGAGGACGAGATTAAGGAAGAGGACTTGAAGAAGATGCCGTACCTAAAGGCGGTGATCATGGAGGGGCTGAGGCGACACCCGCCAGGCCACTTTGTACTGCCGCATAGAGCGTCGCAGGATGTGGAGCTGAACAAGTACCTGATACCCAGAGGATCAGAGGTGCACGTCAACGTCGCGCAGTTGGGGTGGGATGAGAGAGTGTGGGAGGATCCGATGGATTTCAGACCGGAGAGGTTTATGAGAGGCGGTGATTTCTCCGGTGAAGTGGTGGACGTAACGGGGAGCAGGGAGATCAAGATGGCGCCTTTCGGAGCGGGAAGGAGGATTTGTCCGGGCTACGGGCTTGCCATACTGCATCTGGAGTATTTTCTGGCGAATTTGGTGAGGGAGTTTGAATGGAAGGCGGTGGAAGGGGAGGAGATTGATTTGTCGGAAGAGTTCGAATTCACGGTCATGATGAAGAAGCCTCTGCGTGCTCGAATTTTCCCTCGAGGGAGCAAGCTGTAGATGTACTGTAGGAATCGCTGGTGGTTTCTGTTGGCAATTTCCCCTTGAGTAGATTCAGGAACGGTTATGTCAGTTCTGTTTTTATCGCTTCTCGCTTAGAACTGTTGAAGATCAACCCCAGCCCATTACAAAGCACAATCTATTTTCAGCCCAAGGAAAATAAAAGCCCAATTCCATTTCATCTAAGCCCAATACAATGGAAGCTTCTCAACAAATGTGGAAGAAAGATATTTTTAAGAGAAAATTATAGAAGGATGTAGAAAGAAGAAGTGTGTACTCAACAAATGTGGAAGAAAGATATTTTTAAGAGAAAATTATAGAAGGATGTAGAAAGAAGAAGTGTGTACTGTGTAGAATGTGGTAATAATGTATGGCTATGATTGTTTCTTCCACACACTTCCTAGCCCTCTTAAGCAACTATAAATAGGGGTCTTGGGCTCTCATTTAAGCAAGCAAGCAAGAAGTAAGCTTGAAAGCTTGAGTGTGTAGTGTAGGCTTGTGTGAGTGTTCATCAAAATAAAAAGTTATATGAAAGTGAGGTGCTCTTGTAAGAGCAAGTATTGTACTCCCTAGTGTTCTATTAATAAAAGTTTCCTTTGGTGCTCTTGTAAGAGCAAGTATTGTACTCCCTAGTGTTCTATTAATAAAAGTTTCCTTTGTGTAGAGGATCGTGTTCTTCAAATTCCATCAAAGTGGTATCAGAGCCAGGTTCGATCTAGTCGGGCCAATCGAAGGTGCTCGTGTACGAGATGGCGAACATGATCCAGCCACAGATTCCGAAGCTGATGAAGACCAATTACGATAACTGGAGTATCCAGATGAAAGTCTTGCTCGGCTCGCAAGACTTGTGGGAGCTCGTGGAGAATGGCTACACTGAACCAGAGTCACCTGCAGCAGAAGCAACTCTCACCGCTACACAGAAGAGTGAGCTGAAGGAGATTAGAAAAAGAGACAAAAAGGCATTGTTCCTAATATTCCAAGGTGTAGATGAATCAGCGTTTGAGAAGATTTCCAATGCCCTGTCCTCTAAAGAAGCATGAGAGATTTTACAAAAATCCTATCAAGGTGCGGAAAGAGTCAAAAAGGTACGCCTCCAAGCATTAAGAGTTGAATTTGAAAATTTAAAGATGAAAGCTACAGAATCAATATCAGACTATTTTAGTAGAGTTCAGACAATAACTAATCAAATGAAGAGAAATGGAGAAGCAATTAATGATGTAAGAATTATGGAGAAGATACTTAGGACTTTAGACTCTAAATTCAAATATATTATTCCGGCAATACAAGAGTCTAAAGATCTTTCCGAAGTTTCTATTGATGAGCTGCAAGGTTCTCTGCAAGCTTATGAACAAGATATAAACATTAGTTCAAATCAAGCGGAGAATCTAGAACAAACCTTGCAAAGTAAGATGACTATCAAAGAAGATAGTCGAAGAGGACGTGGAGGCTACAGAGGCAGAGGCTCCTTTCGAGGTGGCTCAAACTTCCAACAAGGTCGCTTGCAGAGTAAGATGACTATCAAAGAAGATAGTCGAAGAGGACGTGGAGGCTACAGAGGCAGAGGCTCCTTTCGAGGTGGCTCAAACTTCCAGCAAGGTCGTAGGAGACAGTACCAAGGAGGCCATGAAAATCAAGATCGAAATGGAGATCGTGAATGATCGTTTGATCGAGGACGAGGTCGTGGCGCACGAGGACGAGGACAAGGAAGAAAATACCAGGAGGAAAAATCTCAGCCACGGTGTTACAAGTGCAAGAGATACGGTCATCTCAGCTACGAATGTTGGGAGAAATCAAACCAAGTGGCAGAAAGAAGTAACTTTGTAGAAAGGGAGCAGCCAGACACTTCAACAGTCTTGCTGACGTACCAGGAGAGTGAAAGCAAGAATAAAGATATCTGGTATCTGGATTCAGGTGCTAGTAACCACATGTGCGGCATCAAGGAGTTTTTCACCGAGCTGAACGAGATGGTACAAGGAGATGTCACATTTGGAGATCAGTCAAAGATTCCAGTGAAAGGCAAGGGCAAGATAATGATCCAGACAAAGACGGGCGAGAATAGGTACATCTCTGACGTCTATTATGTTCCAGCACTACGAAATAATATTTTGAGTCTAGGCCAGCTCCTTGAAAGAGGCTATGATATACATCTAAAAGACCTTTCCCTCACTATCAAGAATAAAAATAAAGTAATTGCAAAGGTGAACATGTCTCGAAATAGACTGTTTACCTTAAATATTCATACTGACTCTGTTAAGTGCTTAAAGATGATTATGAAGGATGAGTCTTGGCTCTGGCATTTGAGATTTGGGCATCTCGCATTCAGTGGCCTAAATCTTCTGTGGAAGGAGAAAATGGTGAAAGGATTGCCGCAAATCAATCATCCGAACCAGCTATGTGAAGGTTGTATGAAGGGCAAGCAACATAGAAGAAGTTTTGAAGTTGGAAAGTCAAGAAGAGCAACAGAGCTGCTATAATTGGTCCACACAGATATTGCAGGACCATTTGAAGTCATCTCTCTTGGAGGAAATAGGTACTTTCTCACATTTATTGATGATTATAGCAGAAAAACATGGGTTTATTTCTTAAAGGAGAAATTCGAAGCCCTAGAGGAATTCAAAGAATTCAAGGAGATGGTAGAAAAGCAAAGTGGGTACCACATCAAGGTGCTCCGATCAGATCGAGGCGGAGAATACACTTCGAAGGCATTCAATAATTTCAACAAGCAGTACGGGATAATTCATCAACTCACTGCCGCCTACACACCACAACAGAATGGCATAGCAGAGCGGAAGAATCGTATCATTCTTGATATGGTCAGAAGCATGTTGAAGAGCAAGTACCTGCCGAAGACTTACTGGGCTGAAGCCGTGGATTGTGCAGTTTACCTCCTCAACCGATGTCCGACAAAGAGCGTAAAGTTCAAGACACCATTATAGATGTGGAGCAACATCATACCAAGCGTCAACCACCTGAAGGTGTTTGGGTGCATTGCATATGCACACGTCCCAGAGCAGAAAAGAAAGAAGCTGGACGATCGAGGAGAAAAGTGCATATTCATTGGGTACGAGAGGAGGACAAAAGCATACAAGCTCTACAATCCAGTTACAAAGAAGATGATCATTTCAAGAGACGTGGAGTTCGATGAAGAAGATTATTGGAAATGGACCGATGAAGACAAAAACATTAAAGGTATGTTCTTTGAAGATAATGGTGATGACTTGCAGGAGGTTGGAAGACCAGAACAAAGTCCACCAAATAGTCTAGCTTCATCAACCTCAACATCGACGCCGACATCATCATCATCCAGCTCAAGTGAAGGAAGCTCTTCAGGGGGAGCAACAAGGAGGATGAGAAGCCTAAGAGATCTGTATGACGATACATAGCCTGTCGAGATGATGGATGACTACACACTATTCTGTTTATTTGCAGAATGTGATCCGGTCAGCTATGAAGAAGCTGCTCAAGAAGACAAGTGGAGAAAAGCCATGAATGATGAGATTGAGGAAATCAAGAGAAATGACACATGGGAGCTCACCTCCTTACCTGAAGGCCATAAACCCATTGGAGTAAAGTGGGTGTACAAGATAAAGACAAATCAAGACGGCGGAATCGAGAAGTACAAGGCCAGGCTTGTTGCAAAGGGCTATAGCCAGCAAGAAGGAGTTGACTATGAAGAAGTATTCGCACCAGTCGCGAGGATCGACACCATTCGACTCATTATCGCATTGGCAGCACAGAACCGGTGGAAGATCTATCAGATGGACGTGAAGTCAGTCTTTCTTAATGACTATCTAGAAGAAGAAGTCTACATCGAGCAACCACCTGGGTACGTGATGAAGAATCAAGAAGACAAGGTCTATAAGCTGAAGAAGGCATTGTATGGACTGAAGCAAGCACCCAGAGCATGGAATGCTAGAATCGATGCATACTTCCAGAAGAACGGATTCTAGTAGAGTTCGTATGAGCACTCTCTCTATACCAAGAAGAAGGATGGAGACAATATGATCGTATGTCTCTACGTGGATGACATGATCTTCACCGGTAACAATCCAAAAATGTTCGAGGAGTTTAAGAAGAACATGATCAAGGAGTTCGAGATGACTGACATTGGAGAAATGTCATGCTTTCTTGGAGTAGAAGTGTCGCAATCTGAGAAAAGAATCTTCATCTCTCAGAAAAAGTACGCAAAGGAGATCATTCGGAAGTTCAACATGAACAACTGCAAACCAGTTGCAACTCCTGTCGAAGTTGGAGTGAAGCTGAGGAGAGACTCACCAGGAATCTCTATTGATCCAACTTTGTATAAGAGCTTAGTCGAAAGCCTACGGTACCTGACCATCACAAGACCCGACATAATGTTTGCGGTTGGACTGGTGAGCAGATTCATGGAGGAGCTAAGGCAAGAATGTAGGCGTATAAAACTGCTTATAGGTCCCTTGACACAGCTCGGCGCGATGATTCGACAAATCGACGAATCGGGCCAAAGGGCCGCCCTCCAAAACTGACTTTCTTCCATGGGGATGGTCTCCTGCAGGGAGTTCTCCGGGCAGCAGTTGCAGAAATCACCGGACCGTTTAGGGATTGACTTTGCCGAGTGTTGGAAACCTTTGGCGGTGCGGGTTTTTGCCTCCTTAGGTCTGAACCACTACTAGGCTTCGGCTTTCCAAACCTTGCGAGTCGATGACTGTTCTCGGCCACCTCACGCTGTAGCTTGCGAGCGGGCTTCTTCAGCTTTTAGCCGCGCGCTTGCGCGATAATGCGCGGGCGCTTTGCGGATACGTTCCTTCAGTGTCGAGCGGTTCCGCTTTTGACTACGAACCCATCCATTGTTGATGGCTCCGGGAGGAACCATCTTCATTTGCTGTTGCAGGCTGTTTGCCCCGTTTTGTTCTTCAGCATCCGCCATGGTAACGCGACCCCTTCAACAGACTTCCATGCGCCTTCTGGCCGAACTGCCTTCGCGAGGTCGTTGCGCCCTGCTCTGGCGACTCTCTTAGAGAGGATCACCCACGCCTTCCGCGGCTGATTTGACCTGGCCTTCGAGGCCGTAGGACTTCACCTTGACGCTAACTTCCGGGTCGAATAGGGGTGAGGTCGCTCGTGTGGTATAGATATCAACTTCTTCGCACACCAACGCCGACTTTTCTCCTGGAGGAGAACTTCTGAAAGCTTCTTGGACTGTGGGGGAGGAGCGTAGATCAGACGAACACAGATACTCCTCGTACTTCTGATTGCTGTTCTGAACTCATACTCGAC